TTATTAAAGGATTTTGCTTCAGCTTCTGTTTACTTAAAATTGTTAGGAAATGTCTAGGATGAGAGAGCAACATTTTATTTTATGCTGTCTTGAAGAACTTCACTATGTGCCAGCCGTAGATAGTGCTTGAAAAGTTTTGTTGAGCTACTGTGCCACCTTGTGGTAAACATGTAGCATGGCAAGTTATCAAGGCGCTGTGGTGCATTCTTTTTTTTTTTTCCAGGATTCTTCTTGCAGTGGCGCAGTGGGTTGCACTGCCGCCTTGCAGCAAGAAGGTTCTGGGTCCGATTCCCAGCCCGGGGTCTTTCTGCATGGAGTTTGCATGTTCTCCCTGAGCATGCATGGGTTCTCTCCTGGTACTCTGGATTCCTCCCACAGTCAAAAAATATGACTATTAGGTTAATTGGCTTCTCTAAATTCTCCTTAGGTGTGAGTGTCAGTGGTTGTTTGTCCTGTTTGTCTCTGTGTTAACCTGCGATGGACTGGTGACCTGTCCAGGGTGTACCCCACCTCTTACCCATTGACAGCTGGAGATAGGCACGAGCCCCTTCGTGACCCCACTTGGGATTCAGCATGTTAGAAGATGGATGGATGTTCTCGCTGTTATGGAAATAAAACTAGAAATCCATAACACAACACAATTACTTACAATATGCCCTGCTTCAGAAACACCTATTGTAGTTATTGAGTTGTCTAGATGTGAGTCAACTCAGTCTAGTTAAGTCAACTAGTGGACAAGTCCACTTCTTACTGATTGCCATACTGGCAAGCCGTTAAAAGTGGATCTCCCCAATTTGCCTGTTCAACCTTACTGAGCATGAGAGGCTGTAAATAGATGCATGGTAGGAAAATCTTGTACTTATATTCGTCGCCCTTCGGTTATCCAGGACCAGGCTGAGATGAGGAAAGCTCATATCAGCTGCTTGTGTTGGAAATTTTGTTCTTTTGATCATCATCAAGATTTTAACGATAGAAGAGGGTAGCAACATGGACCCTTTAATAAATGGAGAGCTTTGCCTTTTTGCTCAGCTCTATGCACCAGACCAGACCGATGAAGTATACGCATTATAGCGGAAGCCTTCCATCTGTTGATCTTCTGTTTCTTTCTTCGCCTTACACATGAACAAAACCCAAAGATACTTGAACTCCTCCACTTGAGGCAAGATTTCCTCTCCAACCTGAAGATGGTAAGCCACCTTCTTTCCAGATGAGAACCAGGACCTTGGACTTGGAGAAGCCGATTCTCATCCCGGGCCACTTTGTACTTGGCTGCGAACCACTCCAGAGATTTACAATCCTGAGTTTTACCGAGTGATTGATTTAGGTTTTCTTGTTACTCACATTGATGCAATAACTGTCATGGTCTTGGTTCTGTTGTTCTTTAATTTGCTCCTTGTTTTCTAGTTTTATTGGTTTGATTCCAGTTTTGTTGTAATTTCTAGATTTATGTTAGTTTTCATGTTTTTCTGTTGTCCTCTGTTGCCCTCTTGTGTGTGTGTGTTTGTGTGTGTGTGTGTTCCTTTCCCCTTGGCTCCCTCGTTGTCTCCTCTCACACCTGCTCCTTGTCAGCTCGTTAGCCCTCCCTTTGTCTCTGTCAGCTATATATGCTCTCCCTCTGCTCTCCCTCGCTTGTTGGTTCCTTGTCTTTGCTGTCCTCCCATGCTGTTGTCCACCTACCTCGTCTCTCCCTGGCTCCTCATGTTTGGTTTTCCCCAGATGTCTCCATAGTTCTGGTTTACTTTTGATTATTAGTTGGATTTTTGCATTCCTGCCTTTGTTTACTGTTTTTGCCCAATTAAACTCAGAGAAATCTCCTCAGTCTCTCTGCTTCTGCATTTGGGTCCTCCGAACCTCAACCAAAACCCTGACAGTAACATCTCTGTTGTAGCAGTGATTCAGCAAGCAGAGATTTCACCACGCTCAGATTTGGCGAAAATCTACATGTCTACAGTTCTATGTTACAATGCCACTAGTAGACTCATTGCCTGTGCATGCTGTAGGTCTTGGCAGGAGGGAGTCAGCAGATCCATATCAACAAGTAGAAAAATAATCTCACTAAATAATAAGATAAAGCTGTAAATCATTTTGTACATGTGGCTTGCTTGGTAATCTTTATTTACAATAAGCCGTGTTTCTTGCAATAAAAAATTTTGATTGTAATTTTAACTGGTGAAAGCATATGGAAAAGATTAATCAACATGCCCTGTAGAATTTGCTTGGGTTTCTGCTATTACTACTTTTCCATTTCTACATATTTCAAAGACCACCTTAAGTCTTGAGGTCCTTCACTGATCAATCTCACCAAATTAAATTGAAATATATTCTTGTAAATGCTTGTAAATGTAAATGTTTTTTTGACATATGGGAGCAAAAAATTTCTTTTTTCTGAATTAAATAGATTCATTCAAACAGATTGATTTTAAAAGATATATATTTGAGATTGATTGTGCTTCAGAGTTAATCCTTTGCAGCAGAAAATGGATTTTCCTGTCCAGGTGTATGGAGCAAGGGTAGGGCATTTTCAATCCACAAGGGCCAGTAACCCGCAATTTTTAGACGCACACCTGAATCAAATAATCAGATGATTAAGAGGAATTTGGAGAAATGTACTGCATACTGAGGAGGTAATTAAGACATTTGATTCAGGTATTGGGGCAAGGACAAATCTAACAGTTGTGAGAAGCTGATCCTCGTGGACTGGAGCTGTTTACGGCTGCTCTAGCTATTGTTCATTCAAGGCTTGACAGGTTCATCTAAGATCAGTTGGGTCAATAATTTAACAAGAGGAAAGCAGAAGAGTCAGAACTTTATGTAATGATGTTAAAGGTGTGATGGTAGCAGAGAAGATGTAAACAATGGCTGCCACCAGCTCACAGGTATTTTTTGATTCGATATTGACGTTGGTAAAGAAACATTTGAATTGTTTTCTTTGAGGAAAGAATAGATAATGGCACTGAAGTCTGTTATTCTGCTGGATACAACAAAAGTTTGATCTGGTGACAAAACAAGTGGGAATGAGTCCCAATCTGCTTATGGTTGTTGCTTATGGTTGTTGCTTATGGCATTTTCTGGGAGCCATGTGTCCTGTTTGCTACAAAAGGAATGGAGCAAGATGCTAGCCATCTTGGTGTTCCAGAATAATGTTTCAGGAATCGTGGTGAACGAGGTTTTATATCACATCCAAATGGTAAATAATCTTCAAAGGGATGTATCCATAAGAAAGACAAGCAATTTGTGGCTATTTAAGGTCATTTAATCAGATCATAGCATCTTTTTATTACTTTTAATTTTAAAGTTTAGAATATATTGTGTTTTGTCCATACTTACTAATATTATGGTTAACAGTGATCTGACTATGTCACCTCAGTTGTTGTCCTGCTTGGTCGTTGTCCTATGGCATGCAGAGGGATTAGAAAGACAACCGTAGTGCCCACCCCTATGGCCAATGGAGCCTCCCCAGACCCAACATCTTGATTCCCTAGGCATTACCAGGCTACTCAGGAGAGGAATCAAAATAATAACAAAACAACTAAACACAAGATGTTAGAAAGTTGTCAAGAAAGTTTGCACAAAAGCTATGAGGTAAGAAAGTTTTAATCATGAACATCAGCTTTAATCCAGCTAATTAAATGATTATTATTACAGGAATCTAATGCCCTCTTTTTTCTATTTGAAATATATTTACCTTAACAGAAATATAAAACCTTTTCTCGGAACTGTATTTAATGTTAAACTTTTATGTACCTCTTTTTAGTGTTTGGGTTTGGTGCTTTGCCTAATTTCTGACAGTAGGTGTAGCTGTTGTTTTGTGTTGTTTTCTTCATCTAATTTTTTTTGCATTTTTCTCCTTTTTTTGTAATTTTTTTGTAATTTCCATTCATTTTCCGTCACACTTATCCCTCTCCATGCTTATCCCTGCTGAAAAAACAACTATTCATGCAAACAATCGCACTAAAGGAGAATTTAGAGAAGCAAATTAACAGCTGTGTTTTTAGTCTGTGAGAATAAGCCGGAGTATCGAGAAAGAACCCATTGAATGCGCAGGAAGAACATGCAAACTTCATGCAGAAAGACCCCAGTCTAGGAATTGGACCTAGAACCTCCTTACTGCAAGGCAGCAGTGCTACCCGCTATTCCACTCTGCATCCCCTGTTTTTTACTCATATATTTTTTTATCTACATTTTGTGACTTTGTGTATGCTTTGTTGCTGTTTGTAGTTTTTGAAACATAAAATTAAGCGTTTATAGAGAATTCTGTTTTAGTTTTGTGTGTTTTTTTCCATGTCAGTGTTGCATCAGTTCAAATTCCATAGGATTCTGCTGCTGCTTTGTTTTCTTGTCATTGTGATTACGTTTTTTTGTTTTTTTGGCTGCTTTTTCTCCAAGTCTCTTTGTATTTTTGGTGCTTGTAGGGGAAGCTGGAAGTTTCCATGAACCAATGAACAGGTTTGCTAGACAGCCGGTATGTGCATGCTGAAACATATTGCCGACATGCTTAACTCCACAGAAGAATACACAACTAAATGGAGTTTAACCAGTCAAGGGAGTAAAACTAGTTTAATAACTGTAGCTTTACGGCTTTTTAACAATAGATATTGGGTGTGGTTAAGACTGCTCTGTTCAGTTGCTATCAGAGTTCAGAACAAATACTTTTACATTTATATATTCAACAGTCCTGAATCAGTGTTTCAAATAAGACATTTTCCTGTATAGTTTATGTATGCAGACAACTTTAACTCTATTTGCATTAAAAAAATATATATTTTGCCTAATTGGAGCTTTTTCTTAATCATTTTATACACCTCATTAACTTGCCCTGTCTATTAAGATTTTTTTTGCAAATGTCCTTCAAGTTTCCAATGGTTAAATTGCATTTTTATTATTAACTCAATGCAATCATTGTTCATAAGTGACATTCTGGGAGCCGCAGTGCAGGATTTCAGGAACACACCTTCCTGCATATCAGGTGTGTCTAAAAGGGTGTGACTTTAAGCTCCTGTCAGAGCCAAACTCAAATCTGCTCTCAGAGGACTGTGTGCCTTTCCGTGAGTGCTGCATTACTTGAAGTAAGTGCTTTTAAAAGATATATTTCTCAGAGATAAAAAATATATATATATAAATATGATGTATCTAAAGAAGTTTTTGTCAACAACCTTTTGTAATGATTTGTTCTCTGGCTGCTCTTTGCTTCAGCCTCTTGTCTGAACTGTCTCCCTATAGCATCCAGAACCATGCCTGACACAGCAGAGTCCCACTCGGCGACCCTCACCACCAACCGTAACTGCACCATTGAGATCACCAATGTCAGCGGCACTTACTGTCTCGTCAACCCAAAGTACGTAAGAACCTGAGAATGCCAGCCACCACTGTCCTCCATGATCTCTGGTTGCATGCAGATGAAGCTAAAAAAATGTAAAACCTGTAATATTAGGTTGAGTTTATGAAGATTAAACCGCTTTTTACTCTGCAGGTCTGAGTGTTAAACAGCAGTACTACATCTGATGGATTTAAAAACTATGTAACTGTTTAAGCATCGCACATGTAATATTTCTAATGATCTTTAAACAACAAATATATGATTTGCAAAAATGAAAATAGTTCATGATCCAGCTGCTCTACTCTGTATGATATATGGTATTGAGTATTTTTGTATCACTTTGTGTTCAATCATGTACTGCTTGGATTAAAATACCTCATTCATTCATTATTTTATTTATTTTTTTATAACACTTTTGCATCACTTCCTGTAAAGTGCATTCTTCAGATGTGTTTTTTTTTTTTGCTTAATAAAAGGTCCTAATAATTTGCATATATGCTGTCCTTTTTATAGTTTGTAAAAGTTGTTGATGTTTTATGAATTATTTTATTTTACATGTAAAGTGTATATTTGTCTTTTTTTAAAGTTCTGAATGTTTTTATTATTTGTATTCTTGATTTGTTTTCAACATCATGCCTTCATTATTGTAATCTTTACAAAAACAGCATTTATAAATGTATCCATTGAAGCTTCACAAAACATATTTCCTAATTAAAAGGCTCATACAACGGTTGTTCTATTAGAATTAATCAAATGTCTAATGGTCTCCTAAATGTTTCTTTTAGGATTTACATGGAGAGTGGATTCCCATTCAATCCCCCACAGCCCACTGTGCGCACCCAAAAGACAGAGGTGTGTTCCTTCGTCAAGGATGACAACACAGCTTCCGGGGCTGTTGGTGTTCTGACCTACGAGCTGTATAACATGAAGACCCGCAGTTGCAGTGAGCTGATGGCCATCATGTTCTCTGTGCCATTCGACTACAACTTCTACAAGAACTGGTATGCTGTGGGAATCTTTGAGCACACACTTGCCTGCGATGAAAAACTCTACAAAACAATGTACAACAGCAAGGATTTCAGCAACTTTGTGCGCCATGAGGCTGATGGCTCTGGGATGCTCTACCAGGGCAAAGATTTGGATGTGAGGGCCTGCATGTCTGATGAGGGCAAAGCAATCATCAAGCTCGAGCTGTATGATATGATGGGTCGATAAACGATAATGCCCTCAACATGAAGAGCTCAAATAAAATGAAAGCATTGGGGTTGATACTCTTGATTATTGCTGTCATGGATGCTTTGAATAAATAAAAGAAAATTAATCTAATCCACTTCTTGTCGTCTTGTTTAATTGACAATCCTTCCTCACACAAAGAAAAATGAATAACACTGCAAAAAATATAAATCTAAGAAAGTCAATCTTTCTTAAGATAAGTGCTTTTTTTTCTTCAGTTGAAGCGGTAAATTAGACACTTTTCCAATGGAATAAGACAATTTAAATTTAAAAAAAGAAACAGCAGTCTCCTATTTCAAGTGCATAAATTTAAATTACCTGATTTTAATGGGTACAAATTTTAATTCTATTGACAGATCATCTTATTTTCCTACTTAAAATAAGGGTAAATATACTTTTGATACAATTTTGAGATTTTTACTCATTTTCAGACCCTTTTGCAGTGAATAAATGCAAACTAAAACACCAAAATCAAAAACAGTGCTTTGCAGACACACTGGCTGCAAAGATCAACACTAAGCCAAGAGGAAAAAAAAGCAAAAAAGGTGTGTTCTTGGCAAAACTTTCCAGTAAGAGTTGATGTCACTGGCAAAACAAGCCCAACGGTCTCACCCTCACAAGAATGCAGGAAACAAAAACAAAAAAAGGGATGGACTGCACCTTTATTCTGCTTCCTTAGACATACCTGATTCATGAAGCCTAATACAGGGAGGGGCACACAAAGTGGGACTCTGCTGTGGGTGGAGACACTGTGGGTTGTCTCTCTTTCCCATGGAACATCCACCTTAACACTAAACACTGTGATTCAAAGTCTGCATTGCATGAGTAAACGACCAGTGGCACGGTGCAGGTAAGATCTTTTTGCTTCTTGAACTTAAGGAAATGTTGAATTCAAGTAAGTGCATTGATCACAAATAGCTACATGTCTGTTTGATCGTCAGGTAAACAATAAAAGCTAAAACAATGAGTGAATCAGCAGAGGCTTTGGCTGCTAACCTCAAAAGCAGAAGAAATGTCACAATTGAGATCACCAACTTGACAAACGGTTACTGCCTCATTAACCCCAAGTAAGTGCAACTTAAGAGTAACCTTAACTTTCTATACCTGAAGTAAAAGTAATCTGATTTTCTTATGCAAATGTTGTTTTTCTTTTTTTTTTGCAAAAAAAGGGTTTTCCTTGACAGCGGCAACGTCCACAGCCCTCCCCAACCCACTGTCCGCCCACTTAAGACCGAAGTCTGCAACTTTAGCAAAGACAGTGGCAAAACCTCAGGCGCTGTAGGCGTTCTGACTTACGAGCTGTTTGAGCGGCATTCCAACAGCAGCAAAGAAATCATAGCAATAATGTTCTCTGTGCCGTATGACTACAACTTGTACAAAAACTGGATAGCTATAGGAATCTATGACAAGAGCAAAGAATGCAACGAGAGCCTCTACAAAGAGATGTACTACAACAAGGAGCAGAATGGCTTTGTCCGACAGGAGTCCAACGGCAGTGGGCTTACCTTTCAGGGTAGAGGCGTGGACGTCAAGGCTACTATGTCCCCCATGGGCAAGTGCATTATGAAGGTAGAGATCTGGGACAAGGTTTTCTCCCAAATGGAACAGCAATATCACTGAGATGTCCATTCAGATTGTGTTTAAAAAAACTTTATGTTAGACAGACTAAGCTCTGTGCAATCCTGTGTTGATGTAACATCTGTTCTTGAAATAAAAGGATAATCACTTAAAACAACTATTGTATTTATTGTCACTTTGGGAAACAGAAATCAACTACACAATGTTATATCTGCAAACATGAGTGATCTCTACAGGGTTTTAATAAGCATTTTTTATATTAAAAAAGCAACAAAAACAAATGGTTGCAGAGTTGGAGTATATAACCTTGAGTGGCGTTCTCTCTTAGGAAATAAACAGTGAACAATGTGAAAGCAAAGAATCAACAGATGCTTTCATGTTTATACGTGAAAAAGAAAATCTCTTCTAGTTTGAGTTGGGCTGCTACTGTAGCCTAAAAGCTTTGAATACTGCGTACGGTTTGAGCTTGTCCAAAATATCAATACTTTAAACACAAAAGGAAGAAAAAGAAAGCAAACATACATATTAATTAACCCTTTTGTTCAAATTTTTGCTGCTACCTTTGAGAGGTTAAGCCTGATTAACCTGATTATCACCCTATTGCATTTACACAATGATAAACAGTCCATTTCAATAGGAACTGCATGCTATTATGTTAATCCATGAATACTCCATACTAGTTTTCAGTGTGTTGTGTTGCTTTTTTTTTCTTTTAACAAAAATCACTTTCTAACTGCCAGAAAGGCTCACATACAAAATTTAACTTTATAGATAAATACATCATTCTATTCAAGAATTGTTTTAGTACTTGATTCAGATAAAATAAAAGTAACATAAAATAGAAGAGAATTCCAGTAGTGAGCACATTACTTGGAAAGGCCTCCATCTAGTGGTTAGAAGAAGTACGTTTGCACATGCCATTTAAACCAGGATGTCCCACTCCTGTCCCTGAGGGCTACTCTCCTGAAACATTGCTGCTCCAACTCAGCTGACTTTAATGAATGCCTGAATAACTGCTTCAGAGGCATCAAGTTTGGTAGAGGCTTGATTCAACTGATGCAGGTTTGTTGCAGCAGGAGCGCATCTAATAACTGCACAGCAGATTCTGAGGACTGAAGTTAGAGGAGCACTGCTTAAAGCTACAGTGTGTAATAATTACAGGGATATACAGTCAGAAATGTAATGTATTATACATAACTATGTTATTTATCATCATCTACGAGCTCAGCCTCTTAACCTTAATATTTGCGTTGC